TAAGACTTTTATTTCGCTCGCTTTGGATATCTTATCAGGAGAGAGCGGTCCTCAGAGAAGGACATCATGCGTGGTAAAGTTAAGGACAAGTAAAAAAGAGACAGACCCTGGACAGGTGGATTGACACAGTTGCTGCAACAGTGGCTCACATGTGGCGCTGTGTGGGTGGTGGCACAGACTGGCAGGGTTCATTCTGTTGGACTGATGCACTGGAGCCAACTCGATAGCATCTGCAGTAACAACAGACCAACTTTAAATTTACTAGTACAGCTTCCAGGAGCCTTGGTGGCCTAACTGCTAATGGAAAAGTTGGAGATTCAACCTACCAGCCACTGTGTCAGTCCACTGTGGTCATGTATCTCCAGACAAATTTACAGCCTTCAAAATAACATGGGGAAGTTCTTGGTCATGGACGGTCTTTATGAGGTGAAACTGACTTCCCTCATTAGGAACAGGAGTCTAGCTTCCAAGACCAAGACTCCAAACCAGACTCCCTACTGTCGACTTGACTCGGACTCATGGAGACCCTGTAGGGCAGAGTAGAACTGCCCTTTTGAGGCTGTAAATCCTTATGGGAGCAGAAAGCCTTATTTTCCTTCTGCATAGTGGTTGGTGGTTTTGAACTGCTGACTTTGTGGGTAGCAGCTTGGTTCCTAACCCAGGCTCCTCCAAGTCAGGCAAGATCCCTATAATGTGTTTATCATCGAACAATTTTACATTACATTGAATCCTGATTAACAAATCGGGAGAGATTAGGAAGATTTAAGACGTATTTTGAAATTAACTTTTGAACACCAAAAGGCTTCACACCAAGATTTATTGTCAGATCTATTCATTCATTTGTCAGTAGAAACAAAGCTGTTTTAGGAGATACAGTAATTAGAGGCTAAAGTAGATTAGAGGTGGTGATGATGTGTTAGACACTCTGAAGTTGGGGATAAAGTCATTGATTGACAAGCCAGGCACAGTCTCTGCTCTAAAAGGGCTTACAGATTAATGGAGGGAAGAGAACTTACGTAGTTGTCAGTATGCTGAGCAAGGGAGGTCTGGGGCCTTAAGGGCAGGGAAGCCTCTTTGAGGAAAAGGTGACTAAGGTTAGGCTTGAAGGATGGCCTCTGGTTAGCAGAGACAGTCAGGGCTGCCCCAGGTTATGTGTGGTTGCCAGAAGTGAGCACTTGTTCCAAGGCCTAAAGGACTGTAAAGACACAATCATTTCATTTTACCAATGAGAAACGGAGGCTCGTGGAAGTTCAGCACTGCCCTGTGATCCCAAAGGCATTTCACAAGGGGTCAGGACTTAAATCCCCCAGGTCTAGTACTTTCTGTCCATTCATCCTTTTGACCATCTGTCTGATGACCAAGTTTATTTTTCTTGGTGTAATGTTCATGAACACTTGACTGTGTTCCCAGAGACTATGTAGCAAGCTATTGTAGCTACCAGGCACGTCGTTGGGCATTCATAATTCTGTCACAGGCCCTTTATGTTTCTTGTTAGTATTAAAATAGGCTCACTGTGACACTCCTGTGTGCCATTGTGTGTGGTGGTGACGTGCTGGTGGACCGGGCTTCTGCTTCCTCCCACACCCTTTGCTGGCTTTATTCAGTAGAATCCTCATTTACTTCTTGACTGTTGTTTGTAGGCAGAGCCTGAAGTGCTCAACTCAGTATGCAGAGCCTACATTTGAACCCTTTTCTGACCCACCATGGGCCATTTGGTCATGCTCTGAGACCCACCTGTGTGCTTTGCATGGAACTTTGGTTCAGTATTAAGATAGCTGGTTCTTTTAAGAATCTCTATGGAGTACCTGTGATGTGCTAGGACGGTGTAAGACACTGAGCTTGGAGTGCTGCCCTGGGTGGCCTCTGTTCTTCACACGAGTCATGGTCCAGAATGAGAAGCACTGTGTGCTCTAGGGGCACAAGGATGGCCCCTGGCCATGGAGAGGATGTGCACCCCTCTGCTCTTCTTGGGGTGCGCCCTGCTGCAGGAAGTGCACAAAATGCTTCCGAACCAGCAAGAACCCTGCCTCCACAAGAGTTGTTTGTCTGGGAGATTAGCGTGACAGTGGTCAGAGATGAGGCGGGCGAGGTAAGCGGTCACAGATCCTGAAGGGCTTTCTGACTCTGCTGAGGAGTTTGGACTTTATCCTGCAGGCAGTGGGAAGCTGGTAAATGCTCTTAAGAACAGGGAATGAGTAGTCAGAAATCTTTGGACTGCACATTCGAGAGTAATTAAATACACATCATGAACTTTCATGATGATGTTATACTCAAATACTAGCCAGAAAGTCTTTCTATAAACCAGTGGACTTTAACAGCCTCACTCTCACTTAAACACACACCCCAAAATGCGTCTGTTGTTGTTGAGAACATTCGCAGCAGAGCACACACTCCGTCCACCAATCTGCCACAGGTCCAATAGATTCAGGGGCGGAGATAATACTCTTGGAGTTGGGCAACCATTGCCTTCATCCTGTTTTAAGTTGTCTGTCTTCGATTAAGATAAACTCATTGCCACCCAGGTTTTGTGTGTAATCTTGTAGAACATTCAGAGGTTGTGTGGGACCTGCCTGGGCATTGAGAGGTCCAGTGTCTCTGGCTCTCATCCACTGGACACCAGTAAGGTCCCATCACCTGGACAATTTCCACTAATAACAGCTCCTGCAAATTTCCAAAATAAGCAAACAAAACACCCAAACCACTCCAGCCGGGGCCCTGGACTGTCCCATTGAGAACTACCACCATGGTGGGCGATGCTGCGACAGGACCGCCCAGACTTCTTGCTGAGTTGGCAAACATCAGCTGCAGTGCTAAGTGCAGCTCTACACCCTCCTTTCACCCTGGGACTGGGCTGAGAACACCCGGCAGGCCATTGCCTCAGGCACTCTTATTGCCGCTCTTACTCATAGGCTTTTAGTGGGAACACCCATAAACCAATATCCAGTGTGTATTCAGATTTTTTCAGGCCCACTTCTAAGCCACTATGATTGGCTGTAACAACCCGACTCCCCTTTATGAATCTCGGTGGGAAAACCTCCTGCACAAGACCTCTTCAAAGTGTTCAAGAGCAGAGGTGACACACCTTGCGCACTAAGGTGTGCCTGACCAGGTCATGGTGTTTTCGTCTTCTCATATGCTTGTGAAAGCTGGCAAGGCACAAGGAAGGCCAGAAAAGAACTGTTGTTTATAAGTCACGGTGTTGCTGAAGGTCACTGCATACACCAGGATCTGCCAGAAGAACAGGCAAGGAAGGCTGTCTTGGAAGAAGTACTGCCAGAGTATTTCTCAGAAGGCAGAATGGAGAAAATTCATCCCATATGTTGTGAACATGCCTTTAGGTGGGACATCATGCTCGGTCAAGTCAAAAGCACAAAAGAGCAGGACGACGGCACAGTGGCTGCAGCAGCGGCTCCAACGTAAGGTGATTGTGAGGATGGCACAGGATCCGGCAGTGTTCTGCTCTGTTGTCCTTTTGAGGATGGTGCCATCGCACAACAACAATCAAACCGAGGGTCATAAAGTATAAGTAAGCTACCTGTATGCACAGTACATGTCTTTTTTTTAAATATAAATAGAACAAATTTTATTTTGTTATTCTTTTTTTTAAAATAATCATTTTATTAGGGGCTCATACAACTCATCACAATCTGTACATACGTCATCTGTGTCCAGCACTTTAGTACATATGTTGACTTCATCATTCTTACGACACCCACTTTCCACTTGAGCCCCTGGTTTCAGCTCATTTTCCCCTCTCCCTCCCCACTCCCCCGGAACCCCCGATAATTTATAATTTATTATTATTTTATCATATCTTACCCCATCCCATGTCTCCCTCACCCACTTCTCCGCTGTCCGTCCCCCCCCCCAGTACATGTCTTAATCAGAAGACAGAGAAAGTTGGAGAGCCACTCAGATTTGACTTTGTAGTTTATAAAAACAGCATTTTTATTTGTACTAAGTATTGTTGCATACTGTAGATTTCTGGATAAAGACAATTTGTCCTCGATTTCTTCTGCCTTTAATTTGTAATTTTGGCCATTGTTAATGAAATTGTGTTAATGAAATTGCGCTTAAAAGTCTTATCTGGTGTATATGTAATAATATTGTGCAGGTAAGAGCCCTAGCGATTCTTGGTGCAGCTATTAGAGCATAGAAGATCACTCCAAATTTAGGGAGTCCTAGCTTCTTTTTACCGTGTCGATATGGAAGCTCTCTGAGACTTGGAGGAAGGGCGCCCTGAGGTCAGCGCAGCGTTGTCATTAGGGAGTAGGCCACGTCGATGAGTCTCAACAGTAGCTCTGTCTCCTTTCACTGAAGAGGGTTGGTGAATGTCCCCATTACATGGATGACGTTGATGAAAACGGGGACAGTTTATACCTTCTCTCTTCTTCTTTTATAGGTTTTAAAACGACCAGAATATTTTGGGAAGTTTGGTAAAATACATAAAGTTGTCATCAATAATAGCACATCATATGCAGGCTCACAGGTAACTAACTATAGGGATTTTTGCCTTTCCTCCCTACGGTCTGGGCTTGACCTGGGCTGTTCAGAAGGAAAACTTGCTCTCCGTGGTTAGAAAGTGGAGGGTCAGGGACCTGCGGAGTGTAGTGCCCTCTCATGGCGGGATGGGGAAGTGTGGGTGCTCACTGGATGCCTGTAGGACGGACTTCATGGAATTACTAGTAATAAAAGGGAAAGCACAGGACAGAGATTTAGAGAAGGGGGAAGGGGATGGGGAATTGAGTCTGTTTTCAGGCATACTAATAATTAGAAATTTCCAATCAATAATATTTTCAGATATTGAAAACCTATATATAGAGCATCGTTGCTGTGCTGATACAAGCAGATAGAATAGTCCTATAGATTGCCTTTATTTGGGGGAGAACATAATTTAACACAGCGTGGTGACCTTTTTCTTTTTTCTTTTTCCCTTCAAACTAAATTAAAAATACTTTTTTTTAAAATAGCCTTAACGAGCCTGTCCAATCACTTTTTAGAAAAAATAAAACCAAACCTAAGATGTTATTTTATCGAGCTATGTCCTACCACTGTGGTGGAGTCAATCCCGACCGTGTGTTAATTATAATTAGCATGGCAGAAAAGGACTGTGGCTCCCCTAGTCAGGCTGCAAGAGGGTTTCGATGGTGTCCTTTGAAACTAACCACCGTGGGACGGGATGTCTCCCCTGTAGGGTCCCAGCGCCAGTGCTTATGTGACCTATATCCGGTCCGAAGATGCGCTCAGAGCCATACAGTGTGTCAACAACGTGGTGGTAGATGGCAGAACACTTAAGGTAATGTGGCCCTATTTGAGTCTTTGCAGGGGAGGGAGAGAAGATAGCACATGGAGGAGAGCCTGGCACCGCCGAGGGAATGTAGAGGCCCTTTATTAAGATCGCCTCTTACGCACCCATAGCCATCGACAGCTCTCTCTTTGGAGAAGGAACCGTTATTCTCCATCAGAAATGGGTACTGCTTCCCATTTGTTGTCCTGAAGTCTTTAGACCCCGGTGAATGCCAGGGTGAGTCAAGGCTCCTGCCAGGCTGGGCTTTCATATAAATGGAAGCGAGACAGCCCCTATCTGAAAAGGACTGAGGGGGCTTGAGGGCCCTAACCGCTTCCAGCTGGGAGCAGACTCGCTCTGTCTGTCTGCTCCCAAGTGGGGTGTGTCCTGTAGTTTTTGAGGGACAGCTGGGACAGAACCTCTCAGGAGGAGCTCGGCTCTCCAGTGTTCCGTGTTCGGGCCCCCACAGCTGCTGTCGGGGCTGGGCCTGGCTGCCAGTGCAGAGATCACTCTCATGAGGACATTCTGCTTGTGCTATCAGCTCGCATTTTGAGGCCCTTCTCTTCACCCCCCCCTCCTCCTCTTCCTGCAGGCATCTCTAGGCACAACAAAGTACTGCAGCTACTTCTTAAAGAATATGCAGTGTCCAAAGCCCGACTGCATGTATCTCCATGAACTGGGGGACGAGGCGGCCAGCTTCACAAAAGAGGAAATGCAGGTAGTAAAGTAATGTGAATTATCAACTTTGCAGACAAGGGAGTACTTTTTCTTTCCAAGTTCATATGACAAAAGTAAAGTTAGAGGGTTTTTTGCATTTTTGTTAAACTGTTCTTCCTTACAGTAGTATTTTCCAAACAAAAGTGTTCTGTGGGACGTCATAATACAGAAGGCTCTGTGCTCAACCTGAGTCTGAGATTCACTCAAGATGAGCAGATTCCTTCCTGCAGGCTTCTTCTCAGGAGTCTTTACTGGACCAGCTCACAGTCAGCAGGGGAGGTCGAGTGCCTAGCACACTCCCAACACGTGGGCCATGGGAAACTCGTTGGGAAATGTTACTTGAAGAGAAATGTCAGTGAAATAAACGTGGAGAGGGAGACTGTAATTAGTAGTTGGGTTTTTGCCTAATCTCTACTCCTTTCAGAGCATGCTGGAAAATTATATTGTGTCGAATGATGCTGCTGAGCTAACATCTTAACAACACTCCTCCCCTTGAAAATGTCCACTGAGACAGTGTCCTGTGAAGGGTGGATGGAAGGTTTAACATCTCCTATGTTCTTTTTTACATTTCCTCTTCTCCTGTCTCCTTTCAATTTGTAGTCTAAACATGCCTTTAGAAGTAAAACTGTTGACCATACGGCATTTTAAATGAGGATTATACCAAAGCACAATGCTGCCCATCCCTATTGTAGATGAGGACTTCAGATTGTTGCTGTGGACTTTGGCAGGAATACTTCTCATTTAGAAGGTGGGGGGCATTCATTGCTACCTTTTGTTCTCCAGCTCCAACTGGAGAAGGCCGGCTAGGGAGTGCCTACAGATTAAATCCCGTTATACTAGACACATTGGAGTTGCTTAACATTGATGTCTTTGCGATCAAAGACGGTGTTAAATTTAGGTCCTTCTGCTACTTAATAGGAATAGCTGACTTGCTGATTTTCTTATGTAATAACCGCTTGAATTTTTTTTTAATGAAAACTAAATTTCATGCTGAGAATATATTACATCCCAAAGCACTCTCCCAATGGAAATCTCTGCCGAGGGAGATTCCCAAACTCTATCTGGTCTCATTTTCTGTCTTATTGAACAGTGAAAGAAATTGATGGACAGTCCCTTATAACTTAGCTGTAATGGGATTTAACCTGTCTCTCAGGAATTGCCCTGTAGAATCATAAGAATGATCATGTTGAGCTTTCTGTGGCTACCAAAGGCCATAAAAGCTCCTCAACTGATGGTAGAAAGAGTTGTCATGTTTTAAAGATGTAACCTTCGCATCTAACGGCATTTTTCTTTCTTTCTTGATGCTTTAAATTCATTTCAGAGTGTTCTGAATCTGGCTTTTCTTTACCTGAGTTTAAGTCACTTTGAAAAGGAAGTGTTAAAGTACTTCCGTAGTATAGAAAGGAAATTGGAGGATCCTAGCTTGTTAGGACCTCCCTCATAGTTTGGTGCCATGGGAAGCCTTTCTAGGTCTACTTGAAACAGGCCCTGGGATCAGGGAGGGATGATGCATTGTGTAGGATTGCCCTTGCCAGCTTTTAGGGTTTTGCTCTTTTGGTTTGGCAATAGTATTTATGTAGACCACACCCCTGGAGGTAAGTTAAAATACTGTGATCCTTGTCCGTCCAGGCCCGATAAACACGCAGACCGCAAAAGGTGGGTCAAGGTCATTTCATTGCCCTTTATGTTTGTGTTCAGCTAGATTCCATAGCCAGCTTATGAGTATTTTCTTCCTCGATGTTTGTGACAGTGCCTTTTGACAGTTCATCCTCACTGCCATTGAGTCAATTCTGACTCACAGCAACGACCTTATAGGATGCAGTAGAACTGCCCCTGGAAGCTTCTCAGGCTGTATATCTTGACTGGAGTCGATAGCCTTATCATTTTCCCACAGAGCATCTGGTGGGCCCAAACTGCTGATGGTAGTGGTTCACAGCACAAGTCTTTACCCCCTGTGCCCCCAGGGCTCCTCCCTCCAGACTCACAACTACCCTTGCCGTCAACCGGCATTGTCTTCCTGTGCCTGGAGCAGAGGCTGGCAGAGTTTTTCAGTGAAAGATCAGCAAGTACCTGTTGTAGGCTTTCTGGGCCATGCTCTCTCTGTCATAGCTATTCACCCCCGTATCAGGAAGCCAGCTTAAGTCAGGACGAAATGTAAATAGATGAGCATGAATGTGTTCTGCTAAGAATTTCTTTGTAAAAATGGGTAGTTAGCTGGATTTGTCTCATAGGCTGCATAGATTACTGACCGCTGTAGCCCTGGTGGTCCTATCATGTAAGCAAATGGACCGCTAACCGCAAGGTCGGCGGTTCAACTCTATCGGTCACTCCACAGGAGAAAGATGAGGCTTTCTGAAACACTATATAGTGTCAGAAACACTATAAAGGATTGTAGTGAACCCAAAATGATGTGATGGCAGTGAGTTTGGTTTTGGGTTGGCCTAGAGTTTAGAACACATTCATTTTTATTTTGCTGTTGGAACAGAAGAGGAAAGGGGAGGGTAGACACAGAATAATGGAATTTTAACTTCATGTTGGCACAGTGGGAAGTAGAGATAAACGTGCTACCAGTGTAGCCCACGGTGTTTAGCACTGCAAGAAAGAGCTGGGGGGATGGTTTGCCTTGGGTTGCTCTCCAGTCAGGCCTGTTAGAAAGATACTTCCTGTGTCAATTACAGACATGCAAGTAGTTGAAACCCAACTGTCAGTGTTTGAGCCAGTGAACAGTTTTCTTCATACGTGTTTCTATGTCATAAGTGTGTTCTGAACGGGGAAGAGCCTTACTGTGCAACACGTAGTTGTGTGGGGAGAACTTGCAGGGGCCTAGGAGTGGGATACCACCCTCACAGGTGTTTGTGGTGCCACGGAGGAGCTTGCCACTTCCTCTAGGGCACCGCTTACAATCCAGAATGTAGTTCGATAACTTACACCAGCTCTACTGTGAACCCCACTGCAGTTTCATCTCTTCTCTCACTAGGCGGGCAAACACCAAGAATATGAACAGAAGTTACTTCAAGAATTATATAAATTAAATCCCAATTTTCTCCAGCTGTCTACGGGTTCAGTTGACAAGAATAAGAACAAAGTGACCGCACTGCAGAGGTACGACACGTAAGTACTGATGCTCCTGCAGTCAGCCGGCACCTCCTCCTCTCCTGATGAGTGCTGCCATGGGACCTTTCAGGGCAGACTTGGTTAGCTAGAGAGGAAGTTCCTCTTGACTCACAGCCCTTGCTGTTTCTGATGACACTTGAGACACCCCGGATAGGTTCATCTTCTGCAGGGATGTGCAGACTTCACTGGGCCCTGGGGCCACCCTCCTTCTTAGAAAGGAAGTAAGCCATCTTAGTGTCTCCGCACTGAGCTGTGGATTCCCCTTGGCATAACGGGGAAATACTGTAAAAGGGAGAGTGAAGTGTGGTGGTGCCACAGAGCTGGCCCCAGGCGTCACTAACGTCTTACATCCTATGAGTGGGAGGGTATCCGGTATTCAGAATCGTGCCTTTGGAGTTTCCAGTAAACCAACATCATACCTGTGCTTAAGCAAATGGATAGTTCTGATTGCCATGTCCCATTCTGATGCAGTGATCTGTAGACTTTGGATCATAGTTGGGGATGGTCTGAAACAGTCTAATTAATAAAAAAAATCTATTTTGGGGTTGTACTCAATCCCGAACATCCTTTACATTTGGGGCTGCAGGATCTTTGTTCTGTTTATTTTTAATTTAAAAACTGAAAATGATTTTATTTTATTTTATTTATTTAAAAGAAATTGCTACAGTTAAGCTAGATTCTCCTTTTTTACAATCCAGAATTAAAGTTAAGTAATACTTTGAGGTGTAGAAACTAAATGTTTAGCACTAAAGTAATGGGAGAGCTATTTTTAAAATGCAGATACTAGTAACCACGTGGATTGTCGCCTGAGTGGATTTCTTCAGAAAGATGTTCTTGTGTTTAAATGTTTGAAGTGTTTAAGTTTATTCCTGTTAAAAGCTGATATTTAACTACTAAAACCTATTTAAATTTAAATATTTATTTCTTGTGTATACACACACATACATAGCCATACATATTATGCATAGAAAGAGGTACTATATACTTGTTAGTATAAGATGTAATAAATGCATTTGTTTGTATGAGAACAAAATTCTATCTTGGAAGAAATATAACCTGGTTGCTTCTGAGAAGCAAGGATGGACGAACTTTGCTTCACATACTTTGGGCATGTTCTCAGGAGAGACCTGGTAGAGTAGGAGGTCGGCACAAAGAGGAAGACCCTCCACCAGAGGGATTGACACAGCCCATTGTAACAATGGGCTCAAACCTATCAACAATTACAAAGATGGCACAGAACCAGGAAGTGTTTTGTTCTGTTGTATATAGTGGGTCACTGAGTCAGAACCTAACAGCAGCAACAACACTGCTAAGACAAACATTTGGCTGACGTTAGTTATCTGAACCATACTTATCTGTTCCAGCCTGGACACAGATTTGACCTAACATTTGCTCTCCACTTAAACCCCTGGCATCAGGTCCTCATTTTTCCCCTCTCTCCCTGCTCCCCCCTCCCTCATGAGCCCTTGATAATTTATAAATTATTATTTTGTCATATCTTGCACTATCCGACGTCTCCCTTCACCCACTTTTCTGTTGTCCATCCCCCAGGGAGGAGGTCACATGTAGATCCTTGTAATCAGTTCCCATACTTGATAATTAGATAAATAAATAGACTTCCTCGTTTTTTTACTGAGTTCCTACCTGCCTCAGGTTTGATCTGTGCTGATCTCTTCTTTCTCATCTGTGTGAAGGTCTCTGTGTTAAGGGTATTAAACCTGTGGGACATAAGCTACCTTTCACCCTTTTCTGTTAGAATGATAATGGGGTGTTTTATATGAATCGGTGGGTAGTTTGTATGTGATAAAGTCAATCTTTTCCTTTTGTGCTTATAGAGACCTTCTCTACCCAAAGGCCAACCAGAGAAATAACTGCTTGTGTGTGTTTCTTGTTTTCTGTCTTTGTAGTTAGCATTGCTTTGTTTTGGCATTAACTAAGTAGTTTTACTGTCTAGAGATCAGTCTCTCCCCAACTAGCTGACCATGTTTTTGCGTTTTGAAATATATTAGTTTCATCAATCCATTTTGGCAGACCTAAACACTACTGAGTCTTTCCAGCTATTACACGTCTCTGTGTAAGTCTCTTGTCCCTCTGAGAAGTGCTTTCATTTCACTCCCATGTTCCTCTACTGCTGGGTCTCTACCATCTCCTCTACCTGTGGGAATCCCTGTGTGAAAATTAGAGGTAGGCTCCTTGTTGTGCTCTTCAAGGGAAGTCTATATATCTGTTTTGATTTTTCATATTTTGTTTGAGAGAAATGTTAGTAACCACAATGTGAAAATACTTAATTCCCAATTTATTATTTTCCTTTAAGCTGACAATGGATCTTGGAATCATGTAGCCCTGGAATCTTTGGGGTCAGGGTCTCAAGCTGTAGAGTGGTGATTTCTTGATTTTGTGGCTCAGTCACACTAGCCACTATTACAATTGTGGGAACCAAGGCGTTCAGTTTTAGACAGAAGTAAAAGGAGGGTAGAGCAAATTTTGGCATCTTCTGTGTTCACCTAATCTCCTGGGAAGTCTTGTGTGGTTGGGATCATTGTAAGAAAGTGAAGTCTCTAAGAGGTGACAGGTTGGCCATTGTCCCACACAAAGTGGCAGGCCAGGGTCTGACCACGTCTCTAGTGCTTTCATGCTTAAGCTCCTTGTACTTCCGCTCTCCCATTGTGTCCACGAGGGGATAGAGGGAGTTCTGAAGACACACTGGTAGGACAAATTAACATGACCAACAAAACTATGCTCTAACCACAGGTAGTTTGACCTTGAAGATGTGTGATGCTGGAAGTCTTACCTTAGGCTAGATATGAAGAGGTTCAAAAAAGTTGTAGAAAAATCTTGTTATCTTTTAATTCCATTTTTCCATAAACTCTTTGAAGCCTCCTTGTATAGTGGTAGGTTGTCAATTCCAAGAACTCGATGAAGTATTGAGCCAAATCATTCCTAGGTCATAGATTGGTGGCAGTAGAGGATTAGCTAGAGAAGTGGGGAAGAGAAAACTTCTTTAGGAATGTGTAAACTTTGATGGCATTTAAGACATTGTCAGAAAATGTACACCTTAAATGTACATCTAAAAAAAAGGCGGGACTTTGAAGCGACGACTGGAGAGCCTGTGTGTTCAACAGAATGGGAGGGCCATGCAGGACCCTGGTCTTCTACCCCTGGGGTTCACATACTCTTGAGACTTGTCAGAACTGGTCTGTAGCAGAGCCGGGGGAATCATGAATAGATATCAAGATATGATGTGTACATTTTCCTGGAGAGAACCCACAGCCCAACGTAATGGTCAGTGGTTGATGTGGAGGGGCCGGTCGCTGATGCCAGTCCTGGATTGGGGGTGGCCTCAGGAATGGTCCGGAACATTGAGGACCTTGAGAGGGGGCTGGGCTGTGTAATGTGGGTCTCCAGAGAGATACTCTCTTCTTTCCTCTGGAGTTTTCCCAAGAACTTGCAGTTCCCACTGAGCACCGTTTACTGGTAAACTAAATAGATACGTTATTAAGGTTTGCTAAAATTTGGCGCTACGGACAAAGTCATGAATTTGTAGAATTTTTCTGAGACTTGTTTTGCCATTCTCTGAAAAGGCTTCCTTCCATGTTGTGCTTGACATACACAGGGGTTTCAAAGTGTTCTAAAAAGCCCTGGTGCTTTCCCCACACGTCTTGAAGTGCTCTCATTTGTGCACACAGTAGCCAACTGGCAAATGAGTGGGGGTGTCTTTTGAACCACTAACCTCGTGGTTAGCAACTCAGTGTATCGCCTATGGCGCCCCCAGAACTCCCTTCTCAGTAGACTATAGTTGAAAATGTAAGGGATCCACTGTCTTGGTTAGTCCCACTGTCTTAGTTTTTTAGTGGGGTGGGATGGAAAGAGTGGACCCTGGGGCAGCTAGAGAGAGTTGTTATACCCCTTATTTCCTGGAAGAAAAAACACATCTCAAGGAGCATTTGTGTATCTAAATTCAACTGAAATACATCGTGTCTTTTCAAAGGCTACACTGTGACCAAAATGCAAAATGATGACTAAGTAGAGACTTGACTCATTGTTTTTCTCGCTGCTACATTGTTGTTGGTCTTAGGTGCCGTTGAGTCCGTTGAACCCTGTGTATATAGAGAGCAAAACACTGCCTGATACCGTGCGCCATCCTCGCTCTCCTATGCGTGAGCCCAGCATTAACAGCCACTTTGCCAGGCCATCTCCATCTCTTTGTCACTGACCCTCTGCTGTACCAAGCCTGATGTCCTTCTCTAGGGACTGGTCTCTCCTGATAGCTTACCCAAAATGTATGAGACAGAGCCTTCCCCTTGCCCTTTCTAAGTAGCATTCTGGCTGTACTTCCCCAGTTTCATAATTCAGATCTATCAATTCTCCTTTGGGCTTCCTTATTCATTGTCCAGCTTTCGTGTGTGTATGAGGCAGCTGAAAATACCAGGGCTTGGGCTGGGTGCACTTTAGTCCTTAAGGAAGCCTGCGTTTTAGAAAGACTGACCTCACCTGTGTGAAAACTTCTATTCCGTGTTCTTTATTGATGGTGGCTGGGGAGGTGAACTGAAGTAATGCCACAAGCCTGTTCCGTTGTCATGTTTTGCCGTCATCCTTTCATTTGCAGACGCTTCTGCTCATCTGGAAGTCCTTGTTTTCAGATGATCAGAACAGCTCCAGTTTGACCTTCGTCGTGCCATCACCCTGCCAGCCCTCCTAAAGCCCAACTTTGTCATTTCTGAGTCTAACCTCTTTCTACCTTTCTGTTAATACCTCTCAGTGCTACTCTAACCACCTTGTACATTCGTCACACTAGCTTTCTCTCTCTCAACCTCGTTTGTAACTTTAGGGGCCTTCCTGGATCCGTATGCTGCCCAGCCTTCCATGGTGTCCTTTCACTAAGGTGACCAGACATCCCGCTTTTGAACAATTTTTCCCGTGTTCCGCGGCGTTTTTAAAAAGCTCCGATGTTTGGAAAGAATGCACAACAAGCTAGGACATACGGTTTTCGGCTGCCATGTGGCTATTTCGCCAGGATATGAGTTTTATCAGTGGTGTCCCGCTTTACCGATGTTAAAATCTGGTCACCTTATCTTAAGGACCTGATTAAATTTGAGTTCCCTCATGGAACTGTCCATAACTGCCCCTTTGGAGGTACCTTTCCTGGTCTGCACTAACTGGAGATCTGCGTGATGAGTAACAGTGCTCTCCCAGTCAATTTCAGAATTGAGAACATTTGATGGTGTCCCTGCAGAGGACACACCTGGGATTCAGAGCGGGTACCAGCCCTGGTTAAAATGTTTCACTAGAGCAAATACCTAAGTGTGGTCCCATTAGTCTTCAGTTTAAAATGATGTTGGATATATTTCCAGGAAATAAAAAAAATTGAGAAATTTAAGATCTTACTTTTGTAGGGTACTTTATGAGGACACATTGGGATACTAATACTTATTCCCTTGTCATGTGCTCAGTGAAATAAAACTCAGTATAGGAATGGTGCCACTCAGTCAGTGGTAGGATGTTTATGGAGATTTTATTTTGTCTTTAAAGTCAGACAGTAAAAATGAACTTGATGTTAGCAGTTTGCTTTGTACTTGTTTTCTTTCGGTGGAAATAGAAATTACTGTTTCCATCTGTCAATAATTTACACAAATGTTTGTTTCTCTGTGTGTATGTACACATGTACTTTTTCTGTGGTTACAATTAGGATATTGAATTATTTAAAGAAATGTCTGACTCTTAAGAACCTGCAGAGAGCATTTCAGGAACTTACGTCCTATCATACAGAAAAATGGGAGTGCTATTTAAATAACTGTAATGGAAAACGAGTATGTTATATGTGCACAAAAGTAAATGAGGGATTTGAATCTTGACCTATGCATTTGGGCAGCATCCAATCTATTTATTTCTTTATTTATCGTTTTATTAGGGGCTCATACGACTCATCACAATCCATACATCCATCCATTGTGTAAAGCACATTTGTACATT